GTCGGCAATTTTCTATCACCCACGCTCTTTCTCTCATTGTCAGTCTCTCTGTATCACTCTCTCTTTCTATCTGTCTGTCTATCCGTCTGTCTGTCTGTCTGTCTGTTTCGCTAACTATGTCTCTCTCTATATATATATATATATATATATATATATATATATATATATATATATATATATGTATATAACTACAGCTTGTTTCTATCTTCAGCTTCTTTATGTGTATCAATACATATATATATATATATATATATGTTTCTCTATCTCTTTCTCTCTACATATATATCCTCTAATCCCCTTCTTTAAAAAATCTATTTATCTATATACCTTCAGCTTTTTATATCTATGAATATATATATATATATATATATATATATATATATATATATATATATATATATATATGCAAATATATATAATATATATGCCTGTCTATATATATGCATATATATGATATATATTTAGTATATATATATATATATATAGTTGATATGTATATATATATATATAGTTGAACTATCTATAGGTATATATATATATATACAGGAATACCTTGCTTAATGCGCATTCGATTAATGCCTTTTCGATTAATGCGCTTAAATTTTCATGTAGCAAAATTCGATTAGTGCATTCATAATACTCAATTGATACGGTAAAAACATTCTTCACTTTTGATGCAACTTGATTTTTTATCGTTACCGATTCATAAAAATTAATTTTTGTTCTGAATTTTGTTTGTATTCACTTAATGCGCTTTGGATTAGTACGTATATTAGGCGTGCGAATCGAGGGTTCCATTATATATAGAGATATACTCAGCTTCAATCTACCTATCTTAAACATGTTTATATATATATATATATATATATATATATATATATATGTATCAACCAACCTGCGATGTACATCGTACGATGAGGTCGGTATTCTTTGAAATGACAGATGATGAAATATGACTAAAACTAAAAATTTCGAGGCTCAGTTTAGAATGCGATCGGAAATATTTTCCCTTCTTAAAAAAATTTAAAAATTGTGAGAATATATATTAGCCAATAAGCTTGAGATTATTAAATCTAAATTTTAGATTTGTCTGTAGCCTACTATTCTATTATAAATATGATCAGTTCTTGTTCGCTAAATAGTCTTTCTGTGTACCTTTAACCAGAGTGATTGTTCGATCCTTTGTTAGACAAACGAAACCGAAATTCTTACACTTAATTAATTACTCACATCTTTCGCATTCTTATTCTAGTATACAATATTACAAAATTACATTTAGCAATAGAGATGACATTCCTCTAACCTAGTTTACATGCGGCAACTGTATCGACTAGCTTTCCCTTTACTTTCTTTCATGAGGTCGACTACAATTTATACACACAGTGAAATGATGTAGACTTGAGTTATTTACATCTACACACATGTAAGCGTTCCCATTTACGCTATACTAACGTATTCAACCATTTGTAAGAAAGATACACAAAATATTTTGTGTTAAATCGTTCACAAAGAATCTTTGTAATTCATTTCTTTCAATTTGATAGAAAAATAATTCTCAAATATATAATAATTATTGATATTTATAGATCCGTGTTTGAAAATATGCGTCTTCCGACAGGAATCGAACCTGTATCCCATACCGAACCGTCATATAGCCTGATGTGCTTTTCTATGACAATTTCTCGGACATTCAGGCCGGTAAATGTTGTTAATACTGTTTATAATAAAGAGTGCATTTACTTAAATATTTGTATCTATAAAAAAAGAATGTATAAACATAAAAATGTCTTAAAATAATTGTCGGACTTTGTCCATTCACAATGTGTGAATAATTTGTTTACATTTGGATACGCATTGAGCAGATATGAATGTACGTGAGAGAATCATGGAAGATTGTAGTTTAAAAATAGTAAAATCGACCTTGCTACCCGAACGCTCCTCTATGGTGAAATCGGTAAAAGCACGTCAGGCTATACGACGGTTCCGTAAATGTTTTTAATAGTGTTTATTATAAACAGAACTTTTAATTAAATATTTGTATCTATAAAAAGAATGTTTAACATAAAAATGTCTTAGAATAATTGTCGGACTTTGTCCATTTATATATATATATATATATATATATATATATATATATATATATATATATATATATATATATATAGTGCTGTGCAAAAAGTAAGAGAACTAAGATAATATTAAAACAATTTGTCTCTTTTTTCTAGCCAATCAAAAAATCGTAATTAAACTAGACATTCATTAAAATTCCTCTATTAAACGAATTACAGCTACTTTCAAATGTCTTTAGCAAACTGGAATATAAATATTAAATAATAATTTAAAAGTACGATGTTAATAGTGAACCCTTATATCTAATATTTGATGACCCCTCATTTTGAGATCATGACGCCGAACAGACTTTTTCTATAATTTTTAGAACTTTCTGGCAAGAGTCAGTGTCATTTTTTTTTACCATTGCTTTTGGCAAAACTCCCAAAATTACTCGATATTATTTGGTTTCTTGCAAGAACTGCCTTCTTTAACTTGAACCGCAGACTGTCAACTTAAAAACCAGGGAGGATTTTAATTGATTTCGGGCTAGCCCAAATATCGAAGAATCTCGTACCGTTTCGACTACCAAATTTCATTCCAGTGGCTTAGCCCAAGCCATGGTATGATTTCAGATACTTCCCAAAGATGCCGAAATCTAGGATAGCCTTTCAGGATGATACCATAAACAAGCCAATTAAAATTTACCGATTACATAAAACAACAAATTTAAAAAGAGAAAAACTTAGTAAAATGTTGGATAGACATACACTTGTCAATATCATTCATCAAAATATGCCTGAAAGATTTGTTGCTGTTGAAATACAGCTTATATATATATATATATATATATATATATATATATATATATATATATATATATATATATATATATATGTCTATCTGAGGATGCGCCTCTACTGGGGCGACTAGGTAATACCCTTTGCAGACTCCCGCTCAAGCACATCTGTGCTTGTTCAACAAACATAGAAACCACCTGTGGTTTATACTGCATCTATGCTGAGCAGACGTTAGATACAGTTTCTGGGAGAGATAGCGTTATCTAGCGTGGTCTACAGTCTGAACAAGACTAACAAACTCAAATCGATAAAATAAAATATACAACATCAAAGGGAGTCTACTAAATCGGCACACCGAAGAAAGAGAGTCGAATGCCATATTACGTGATAGAACCTTATTTCTAAATACATTCTCAGTTTTCAGTGTCTGACTACAAATGAAAGTTGCACACATTCTCACTTAATGATTGTAGGAGACCGAATTAAACATTTAGTTGTGGCCAGTCATTGTCCACCCGGAACATACATGGTGATTTTCTAAGCGTAGCTTAGATGTGCCACAAGGCTGAAATTTCAGGATACACAACGAGGATCGAACTCACTATTCTTGATTGATCTAAAGAGACAAGCTTGTTAACTATTACACCACATGTGAATGCAGATTAGAGGGCTTGTAAGTATTGCCTATGGCATAATATTCGGAAAAGATCTTGAAATATTTAAAGTTATGAATTATGGGACTACTTTAATCAACTCACCACAAGCAAGGTGATAATGCAACTAAGATTCAAGATTGTAATGGGAGCGAAACAGAATAAATGACTTGTGGAGTTGAAGTAGACTTCAGAATGAACCGGAAACCCAATCTCAAAAATGAAACAAAAGATAAATCTCTAATTCTTTTCAAAAGAGCCGAAGGAGTGTGAATCGGGCGATAGGCAAAACATCTCCTTCTATTATATTTATGGGTGGGTCGCATAAATGCATTGACAGCGAGGATTAAAATAATTTAACGATTAATATTTGCTGGTATTTGTGGGAACATGTATAACATAAAAGGGAAGAAAGAAAGAACGAAGGAGTGAAAGAAATAACAAGTGTACGAAAGAAAGATAGAAAGAATAAGTGAAAGAAATAGCAAGTGTACGCAAGAAACAAAGAAAGAATGAGCGAAAGGAAAAACAAGTGTTAGATAGAAAGAAAGAAAGAAAGAAAGAATGAGTGAAAGAAATAACAAGTGAACGCAAGAAGAAAAGAAAGAAAGAAAGAAAGAGCGAAAGGAATAACAAGTGTCAGAAAGAAAGAAAGAATGAGCGAAAGGAATAACAAGTGTCAAATAGAAAGAAAGAAAGAAAGAAAGAAAGAAAGAAAGAAAGAAAGAAAGAGTGAAAGAAATAACAAGTGTCAGAAAGAAAGAAAGAAAGAAAGAAAGAAAGAAAGAGGGAAAGGAATAACAAGTGTCAGAAAGAAAGAAAGAAAGAAAGAATGTGTGAATGAAATAACAAGTGTACGAAAGAAAGAAAGAAAGAATGAGTGAAAGAAATAACAAGTGAACGCAAGAAGAAAAGAAAGAAAGAAAGAAAGAGGGAAAGGAATAACAAGTGTCAGAAAGAAAGAAAGAAAGAAAGAAAGAGTGAAAGAAATAACAAGTGTCAGAAAGAAAGAAAGAAAGAAAGAAAGAAAGAAAGAAAGAGGGAAAGGAATAACAAGTGTCAGAAAGAAAGAAAGAAAGAAAGAAAGAAAGAAAGAAAGAATGTGTGAATGAAATAACAAGTGTACGAAAGAAAGAAAGAAAGAATGAGTGAAAGGAATAACAAGAGTCAGATAGAAAGAAAGAAAGAAAGAAAGAAAGAAAGAGGGAAAGGAATAACAAGTGTCAGATAGAAAGAAAGAAAGAAAGAAAGAAAGAATGAGTGAATGAAATAACAAGTGTACGAAAGAAAGAAAGAAAGAAAAAAGAAAGAAAGAATGAGCGAAAGGAATAGCAAGTGTAAGAAAGAAAGAAAGAAAGAAAGAAAGAAAGAAAGAATGAGCGAAAGGAATAACAAGTGTCAGAAAGAAAGAAAGAAAGAAAGAAAGAAAGAATGTGTGAATGAAATAACAAGTGTACGAAAGAAAGAAAGAAAGAATGAGTGAAAGGAATAACAAGTGTCAGATAGAAAGAAAGAAAGAAAGAGGGAAAGGAATAACAAGTGTCAGAAAGAAAGAAAGAAAGAAAGAAAGAAAGAATGAGGAATGAAATAACAAGTGTACGAAAGAAAGAAAGAAAGAAAAAGAAAGAAAGAATGAGCGAAAGGAAAGAAGTGTAAGAAAGAAAGAAAGAAAGAAAGAAAGAAAGAAAGAAAGAAAGAAAGAATGAGCGAAAGGAATAACAAGTGTCAGAAAGAAAGAAAGAAAGAAAGAAAGAAAGAATGAGTGAATGAAATAACAAGTGTCAGAAAGAAAGAAAAAAAGAAAGAAAGAAAGAGGGAAAGGAATAACAAGTGTCAGAAAGAAAGAAAGAAAGAATGAGTGAATGAAATAACAAGTGTACGAAAGAAAGAAAGAAAGAAAAAAGAAAGAAAGAATGAGCGAAAGGAATAGCAAGTGTAAGAAAGAAAGAAAGAAAGAAAGAAAGAAAGAAAGAATGAGTGAATGAAATAACAGGTGTGCGAAAGAAAGAAAGAAAGAAAGGAAGAAAAAAAGAAAGAAAGAATGAGCGAAAGGAATAACAAGTGTCAGATAGAAAGAAAGAAAGAAAGAAAGAAGGAAAGAAAGAAAGAATGAGTGAAAGAAATAACAAGTGTACGCAATAAAGAAAGAAAGAAAAAGAAAGAAAGAACGATTGAAAAAAAAAAGAAATGCAACTCCAAGGCTATTGTGATCAAATAAATGGTGAAAGAAATAACAAAACAAATGTTACAGATATATCATATATTAACAAGTATAACAGAAGACTATTACACGACTAGTGAGTGTGTGTCGGTTGACCCAGCATTCAATCTATTCGACTGTTGATATTTACCAGCCTCCACACGAGGTAGGATTTAGCAAAAGGCCGAGTTTAATGTGAGGTAATCCGAGCCCGTAGGCTCGGCCAAAAATTTCCCATAGACCCCGTATAAAACGGGGTCGAGTAGCTGTTTACCGAGACGAGACTCTGTCCTTCGACATAGCCTCGTCTTGGGATCCTTTCTGCCCGGAGGCTGAGAGTTTGACCAGCACAGATGGAACAGATCTATTCGACTGCTCCATCAAGGCCTTCTCTCCTACTAATCTTATAGTAAGCGGAAGGGTCCTCTTTGGAGGGAGCACACCACAACATCAACTAAAATGCAAGTTTTATATGGGGAATGATATATAATGAGTGACTTGTGGAGTTGAAGTAGATTTTAGAAGGAACCGGAAACCCAATGGCAAACAGGAAATAAAGAGATAAATCTCTACTTTTTTTTCTAAAGAGCGGGAGGAGTGTGAATCGGGCGATAGGAAAGCATCTTCTTGTATTACATTTATGGGTGGATAGCATAAATGCATTGATAACGAAGATTAAAATAATTTACCGATTGATATATGCTAGTATTTGTGGAAACGTGTATAACATATATGCAATTTTTGAGTGTGCGTTTGAGAAAAAGAAAAGAAACATCAACTGGAGGTGGACAGACATATCCGTGAGTTACGATGACGATGTTCAATGATTTTCTCTTTTGTACTTTCGAACACGCTTTTGTCGGCTGCAACATTTAATCAAAACTTTCCCCGGAGGAGACTGAGAAAAGACAATCGCGTCTTTACAGTCGAAGAAAAGAATGGAGAATCGAAAGGAACACATCCTACTATTCTCCAAGCTACGATTTTCTCGTCTATCTATTTTAGCATTTCGGTATACATACACATATAAAATTCTATTTGAACTTGCGTGAACTCGAGGTAACAGATACTTAGAGATGACTAGATACATGATCAGATAGAATAAATAATTACTCAAATCGATATATTTACAAGATGATGCTTACTTTTAGAATAAGATTATGTTAACGGTAATAGTAATATAATATTCCTAAGGTCTCCATCGGAACTCTGAAATTTTATTTACTATTTTTTCCTCACTAGGAGGAAATATGTTCGCCTGTTTCCCGGTTCACACTCCTCACAATGTTATGTACAGGAGTAGATGTTTTACTCCTTGATTCCTGTTTAGGATTGGGTTTCCGGTTCGTTCTAAAGTTTACATCCACTCAATATTTTTAATGTTTCCTCCTGAACTCTGACATTTTATTTAATATTATTTTCCACAATAGAAATAAATAGGTTCCACTATAATCCGGTTCACAGGTCTCTCCGGGCTTTCGTAATGGAGCAGAGTTTTATCCCTTGTTTCCTGTTTAGGGATGGGCTTCTGTAAACACCTGAAATATTATTGACTAATTATTTTCTCCTTTCCAAATAGAAGTAAATAGGTTCGCCTCTCGTCAGGTTCACACTCTTCTAACCCTACTATACTATGCAGTCAACAAATCAAAAACAACGCGCATGCGCGAAAATAAAGATATAAAATGGCGACAATGTATCCATCACACCCTGTACATTGCTTCTACTTTTTGTTTTCGCATGTGAATGCAAATGTATATTTTTCAGTTTAGGTTAGAGTAGCTTGGATAATTCGACATCTTTTCAACTCTTGTTGGGTTCATTAATTTTGAATATGTTTCTCGGATTTATTCATGAATATATAAGCAGACATTGAAGCGTTTTTGCTTGAGTACATAGGCAAAAATTTATTGTGTTTAGATTGGAATATATAAGCAGGTGTATTGGATGATTACTTCTGAATCTAGACTCAAACATTGGTCGATGTTATGGTTGATTGTTTCAACTATAATTTTATGCGTTATCAGGGATTTTTTTTCCTTTAATTTTAACTGGATGTGTAGATTCCCATAATTCTGTAATGGCTAAAGGAATAGCCAAAATCGGCCTGACATACAAAATATCCGGTCAATTTTGACGTACTATACGCCCAGAAAACAAAAAAATCTTATCCGACCACAAAAAATTAAATAAAATGCTTAAACACAGTACCTTGTCTGTCGTCCTTAAAGAAACTATATATATATATATATATATATATATATATATGTGTGTGTGTGTGTGTGTATATATATATATATATATATATATATATATATATATATATATATATATATATATATATAGATAGATAGATAGATAGATATAGATAGATAGATGAAAAGTTGTAGTTTACTGTCACTGGTGTCAGCGACCAAAAGTTTCATGTGAAGGTACTGATGATAATGTTACTGTCACATAATCCTCAGGCAGTAAATGATAATACACATAAAAGAAGATATCTATCTATCTATCTATATATCTATCTATCTATTTATCTGTATGTGTGTGTGTGCGCGTGTGTGTGTGTGCGCGCGCGTGTGTGTGTGAGTGTGTGGTGGGGTGAGTGAAGACGAAAGCCAAAGAAACAGTAACAGCACACATATATATAAAGAAGAAAACCGGACCCAGGTAAGAGAAAGAGAAAAAGCGATAAATAAAAAATTGCGAACTGCAAATCAAAGTAACTAAAAAGAAAATGTTTAAGGATTGGCCTGGAGAAATAAATTCTTCAGAATCTTCTTTCTCGGCCGTTCTTTTGTTTTGGATATAGTTTTTCTTTCTTTTCTTTTTTTTCTTTTTCTTTTTTTTTTTTTCGTTTTTGTTTGTTTTTCTTATGCTTTTATTTTTCATCATTTGTGTACTTTTCTGTCGAACATTTTTAGCTCTGTCGTTCCCATGACAACAATGGGAGACATCAAAAGAACGGGCTGCGTTCTATTTCTATTGCAATGAAATAAAAGTATCGAGGCTAAATCGTTTGATAGCTTTCCGTTAATCCCTGTAGTTCTACTGAAAGATAATGACGATTAACACACCGTCGATAATAATAATAATAATAATAATAATGTCGAGATTGATGAGATCGCCAGAATAACTTATAATAATGCAGAAGTTACGAGATTTGAAAGACGACCTTAGTGGCGACTACCGTACGACGATCATTAGAAAGCTATTCTCGAATATTAGTATTTATAGACTAAGATTTATATATCTGTAGCCTGATTCACTTTGAGCGAGCAGTTCTTAGCAACAATCATTCTTCTTTGAGCGTTGTAGACTGATGCCACAGAATCACAAAAAAAAAAGATCGGTTCTTTAAAAAAACAAAACAGAAACAACATCACTTGAGGATTGCCAACATCAGCAACAACTAAAATGGATAGCACGTCAATCTTGAATAGAAAATAACATAATCATGATGTTGACATTTCAGAACACTTAAAAGGTGAGGATAAAAGCCTCCATCAATACTGGAAAGAGCTACTGTATACGTGAAACCTCTTACCTAAACTTCAACAGAAAAAAACAGTACGAACTGCTCACCAAACAGAGGTTAATATCTCTGGAGATTTCATCAGCAAACAGTTTAGGAGAAAGAAAATTATGAACAGGGGCAGAGGTCTATCACTTGTTTCCTGCTTTGGATTGAGTTTGTTCTTCATTATAAATTTCTAACGTTTCAGGCCCAACTCTGAAATGTTATTCACTAATTAAATCTTGAAATCTTCACGTCTAGAGTTAGCTGTTATTTTTCCTGTATAGCCTCAAGAACTCCACTCCTTAGCCTTTCTTACCACACAGTAATGTTCTACATTGAAGACCTACTGGGCTTAACAAAACAATGGTCATTCATAGTCCAAGAAGAAAATGCTAATTAAGATACGCTTTTCTTCTCTCCCTGTCTATCCTGTTAAGATCAAAGTGTAGTAGTTGCCATCTTGATGGACAAAATATATAGTATCTCTCAACTGTATCTTTGTCATTGGTTAGAACAGAGAAAAACCTTCCAGCAGTATTTCCTTCATTAAACCATAGAAGGAGGTTAGGTGGATTTCGACGCTAGCTCGACATTGGTTGCGGGGACTGAGCCAATGACTTTCTCAATGAATGTCAAATGTTTCTTTGTGGGGAAACGGTTAGTATTTCAATTTAAGATCTGACTTTTTGCTTGTTCTGCTCTCCATTCACACAAACATTTAAGTTTAAAGCTAAACGTATCTATATAACCAATGTTTTTTTGTTTTTTTTTATGTAAAATTGGGACTAATCAGCTGTATACGATCTCTTTTTAAGATCAACGTTAAAAAAGTCTTTGAACGAATCAAACCTGGGTATTTGGAAAAAAATCATCCTTCTTTGAACAGTGTAAACTACTACTACAGAATCACAAATAAAGAAATGTATCAAATAACAGAAACCACGTCACTTGAAGACTACTAACAGCAGCAACAACAAAAATTAATTGTAAATCAAAGAGAAATTAATGATATATTCAAAAGGTTTCACTCTATTTCAAATAAAAGATTAGGAAGAAAGCTATCACCAATGCTAGAAAGCAAGATAACATTTACTGAACCTGCCAAACCTATTTTTACTAAAAAAAGGGAATGATTTATAAATTTCAACCAAAGCAGTAATAGCTGCTCGACCAATGAATGCGAAATGTTTATTACAGAGAAACAGCTATCTACTGTCCTTCTGATTACTACTGTAATCTTGTGTGAAAATATATTAAACTTATAGAATATTTAACACCTCCGACTGAAAGTGATGTTTAATAATTCGTTCTTAAAGATAATTTTTTAGAAGTGAATTTGATCCTTACAAAGTGCTTGGTAATAGCAATCTTTTAATACTCTAAGCTATGTACCATCATTTATTTCATTAAAGAAAGAGATGACAGATCTGAAGTCATGATCCTAGCTCAGGAACGAGTTCTTGAAGAAGGAAACTGAAGGAGTGTTATGTTCAGCGCAAGGGTAAGCTTTAAAAACAAATTCTATCAAGTTTTTTTTCTTTATTTATTTACGTTTTTAATGGAATTCACCCCAAGCAAGGGAAGTTAAGCCACTAAGACACAAAGGCTTACTGGTTGTGGAAGAAATAGATAAAGAAACATTATTAATGAGAGAGAAGAGAAAAGAGTAATCAGAAGGACAGTAGATAGAGGTTGAAACCGCATTTAAAACTTTTGCAAATTAAAATTGGCTGTAAAAACATGGAGCTGGAAGGGAGTCCCACAAATGAGAAGCACAAGAAAAGAAAATGTTAATATAGAAAAGAAAACGCTTACGGCTACTTTTAGCCAGCTCAACTGTAAATTGATGAGATCTCGACGCCAGTCTGGTAATTTGCTTAAATTCAAAATATCTCGGTACCATAGGAAAGATATATTCTGAGAAATTACCATGAAAGTATTTAAGTAAAAGACATAGAGAGGCCAGCTGGGGGATCGGCTTCAGTCACTTTCCCACCTACGGAAGCTGGCATCTTTTTGTCTTTTTTATAAATATTTTCATGATAATTTTTTCGGATGAACTCTTCGCTATGGTACATTGACTATTTTAATTTAAGTGTAATACTAGATTACAGAGTGTTGCTTTTTAAATTTATATAATAGTTTTTCAGTACAATATGTTCTTCTGTCCATCTTAGATAGTTATGAGTCTATGCCTTGAATATTGCTGCCATATATGGTCCGGTGCTCCTCTTATATATTTAGAGATTCTTAATAAAATCAAAAGGAGAATCAGCAATATTATTGGTCCTGAGCTGGCATTTCGGCTTCAGTCAATTTCCCATCTCCGTAATGTAGCTTCCCTGTGCCTTTTCTATAAATATTTTCATGGTAATTGATCGGATGAACTCTTCGCTATGGTACCTAAACTTTATGAATTTAAGCGTAATAATAGATTACAG